ACTGGAAACAAGAATAGTAGGGGTTAGTGGGGTGAAAAGGAGGAGAACCTTCCAGAAAGAAAGAACAGTACGGGTTTGTGCCCCCAAGGCAAGAAAGAACATGGTTCCCTCAGTGAACTAAAAGGAATACAATAAAGACAACAAAGAAAACATCTCTCTGAAGACTTGGAAAGAACTGGTAGGCTAGACTTGTTACTAGTACATGATGGGGAATACAGCTTTAGACCTCTCTCTGGAAGTTTTTAGACTGAGGTTTCCTGGGCCACCTGATGTTGGAATCATCCCTTCTTTCCCTTTGACGATTAGTTTTAAAAACACTTAAACCTGAATTGAAGTGTTTTTGGAAGAAAGTACCAATTATTAACTTTCCTTGCAGATCTTGTGTATCCATCCGATCATGGTATGTGGTGGATTGTGGGTCTTTAGTTGAAGGAAGCCAGTCAAACTGCTGCAGTTTGCTGCTGTTGTAATATGCCAGACCTCCTTCATTTTCCTGCTCAAGTGTCATGCAGTCAAGGAATCTGTTAATGACTGAGCAGTGAAGCAGTGATTAATAGAAGTGTAGATGTTCTCGCAGCCTCCTGAACCCTCACAGGAACTGACTCATATATTTTCATGCGCAACCATGGAGTTTTAGGTTGAGCCAGAAACTCTGAAACCTGTTTCCCTACCAGGAAAAGTGTCATCATCTCATCTGGGTTTTTATTACAGTCAGCCACAAAGCATGATGTTCTCACTTGGTTTTTATGAATTCCTCTTAAAAAATTTTTTCTGTGAAGCATCATGGACTTCCGAATTGCTGTTGAACATCATTGAGGTCCTTTAAGTATGAATTGGCTGCAGTCATGCTTTCAAGCCTTTCATCAGGTGGTTAAACCTCAAGAAAGGTCACGAGGTCAGGATAAGTAGGAGGACCAATCAGATTCAAAAAGACATCCTCTGTAAAGTGAATTCCTTACAACTGGGCTACTTAGAATTCCTCGAGAACACACCTCCTAACAGCTCCCATCTGCATTTTTTATCTGCCGAAATTCTCATCAGCTTGAGACCACCCTCAAGCATAAACCACCAGATAAGACATTTTCCCCTTGGTTTGGAAGTGGGTCATGTTACCACATATCAGTGAGCAGCCTGCTTCCCAGTCCTGATGAGCCTGTTTGAGGAAAACCTGGGACTCATAATGAGGTGCCTGAGTGCCTGTCCCTACTACTTACTTACTCACCAGAGCTGCCCCCCTGGTCTTTCCAGCCGGACTGTTACAGGCTCTACAGTATTTATTCTCTAAATCTGCTAACCAGATTCTTCCATCCAGGAACGAACCCCCCCCACACACACACACACCCCTGACTTCTTTTAGATGTAGCAATAACAGTAAAGAAACGGGCTGAATTTTTTGCATGCATTAAAAAGAAAAATCAAACCTAACCATCCATCAACAGGAAAATGGACAAGTATACTGAATTATCTCCATATGGCGGGCTGAGAATGGGTGAATATGGGCTACATATAGATGAATCTTATAAACATGAACACAATGAGTTACAGAAAAATATATCATTTGCAGTTTTTAAACTTTGCAAAGCAATACTGTTGTTAAGTGCTGATGAGTCAATATTTATGCATAGTGACCCCATATAGGTTCTCCAAGGCTGTATGTCTTTTCAGGAGCATAAAGCCTTATCTTTCTCCTAGAGTGACTGGTAGGCTCAAACCACCAATCTTGTAGCTAACAGTCCAGCGCTTATCCCACAGAGCCACTGCACTCACAAAAACAAAACTCTCTAAGGCTAAATATAAAGATGTGCATGAAACAAATTCAGTATAATGACTCTAGGAGAGAAAAAAGATTAGGAAGGGTCACAGTGGGGGCTTCAACTGTGTACATGATTCAAGGTCTGTGGTTGATATGTGGCCAAGAAGGCTTTGGAACACAAACTGAAATATTTTGACAAACATGCAACACTGGAGGCGCTCACTCATCTATACCAAGAAATTTGGACGTGAACTAGCTGATCAACCCATTAGAAGAGATCCATATCTGTGCCCATTCCAAAGAGAGGTGACCTAACAGAATTTAGAAATCATCGAACAATATCACTTATACCACATGCAAAGTAAAATTTTGCTGAAGGTAATTTTTAAAATGGCTGTAATTGTACATCAACAGGGAACTGCTAGATTCAGAAGAGGACACAGAACAAGGGGTATCATTGCTGATTTCAGGTGGATCTTCACTGAAAGCAGTGAATACCAGAAAGCTGTTTATCTGTGCTTTATTGACTACACAAAGCCTTTTTTTTTTAAATCATGACAAGCTATGGACAACATTGTGAAGAATGGGTATTCCAGAACACTTGATTGTGCTCATGAGGAACCTGTACATAGACAAAGAGGCAGTCATTCAAACAGAACAAGGGAATACTGAATGGTTTAAAATCAGGAAAAGTATGCGTTAGGATTATAGTCTTTCACTACACTTACTTAATTTGTATGTTGAGCAAACAATCTGAGAAACTGGATTATATGAAGAAGAACGCAGCATCAGGATTGGAGGAAGACTCATTAACAACCTGTGATATGCAGATGATACAGCCTTGCTTGCTGTAAGCAAAGAGGGCTTAAAATACATAAGATCAAAGACCACAGTCTTCAGTATGAATTTCACCTCAGTGTAAAAAATAATTCTCACAACTGGAACAATAAGTAATGTGATAAATGGAGAAAATACTGAAGTTGTTAAAGACCTCATATTGCTTGGATCCACAGTCAGCCTTCATGGAAGCAGCAGTCAAGACATACTGCATTAGACAAATCTATTGCACAAGAAGACATCTTTAAAAGTATTGAGGAGCAAAGATACCAGTTTAAGGACTAAGGTCTTCAAACCCATGCTGTGGTATTTCAATTGCCTCAGATACATGTGAAAGTTGGACAGTGAATATGGAAGACCATAGAAGAATTGATACATTTGAGTTACGCTGTTGGAGCAGAATACTGAAAGTACCATGGACTGCCGGAAGAACAAACAGGAAGACGTTTGGCCAGAGTACTCCTTAGAAGTAAGGATGGGGAGACTTTGTCTTATACTTTGGACATATCAGGAAGGACCATTACCTGGAGAAAGACACAATGCTTGGTAAAGTGGAGGGTCCGCAAAAAAGAGGAAGACCCCCGATTGAGCTGGATTGGCCCAGTGGCAGTAGCCATAGGCTCAAGTGTAACGACAGTTGTGAGGTGGGTGCAGGACCAGGCAGTGTTTTGTTGTGTTGTACTTATGGTCTCTCTGAGTCCGAACTGACTGGACGTCTATTAAGAACAATTAGAATCTCTATTTAAGATGCTTCTTTAAAAAACTTTTTTCTTTCTCCATTTTTAATTGTAGCAATATATGCGTAATATAACATTTGCCATTTCAACTATTTTTACATCTTACAATCCAGCCAGACCAACCACATGTCCCATGTTACACAATCATCACTTTTTTTTCCTTTTTCCTTTTTTTTTTTGGTATATCTGAAACACTTCACACTAGAAATAAATTAAAACTGACAGGAATTTTATTTTTAAAAATACAAATCTTTTTAAGGGATATACTTAGGTCAGCTCACATTCAGCCAAGTCATCTGAAGTTAAAACGGATCTTTCAGAATGAAAACCCAGAGAGGTCACGTGATCTTCAGTCATCAAAAGCGTTTCAGTTATACTCACTGCTCACTTTTTATGTGGCCAAGGAAGTAGAGGGACAAATGTGAGAAACAATGAGGGGACTTCAAAAGGTTCATGGAAAAATGGAATGAAAAGATCCTGGAATTTTCCCACAGCTTTAAAAAACCACCCTTTGTATTTTCCCACAAGGCTGTGGTGAATTAAGTGAGGGGTTGCAGTGTGGCAGCTTTGGGTGGACCTGAACCTGCAGACTCACTTGGTCTGGCCTGTGTGGTATTCACATTTTCAAAAATTGTTACTGTTTTTTAGAAGGTTTCTCAAGAGGAAACCTGAGGGAACAAGTTAAGTGCTTGCCTACTAACCAAAAAATCAGAGGTTTGAACCTACCAATGGCTCCTTAGGAGAAGAGACCTGGAGATCTGCTGCCATAAGGATTGTTGTTATTAAGTGCCAGTGAGTCAGTCCCGACTCATAGCGACCCTCTATAGGGTTTCCGAGGAGCAGCTGAGGGGTTTGAACTGCTGACTTTGTGGTTCACAGTCCTGTGTTGATCCTACAGCGCCCCCCATAGAGATTACAGAAGCCCCCCATAAAGATTACAACCTACAAAACCCTACAGGGCCATTCTACGCCATCATACAGAGTCGCTTCTGAGTTGGAATCATAATCATAACCAGCAACAACCACAAGAAATTTCTCATTTAAAAAATCTGATTACCACTATTCTCAAGGTGTCAGGAACTCTGGCATCCCTAGATCCACATCTCCACATGGTGGCAGCTGGCTGGAGCTGAGTAGCAACTATTCCCTTTCGAGGGAATGTGCCCTCTCCAATTGACCCCTGCCGCCACCCAGTCAAGTTCCCTCCTCTGTGTTGTCAAGTGCCCAGTACCTTGTGGTTTGCATTATGGTCCAGGTCTCACTTAACTAGGAAATTCAGTTATCCAAAAGGTGCCTTCTGATCCCTCAGGGTAGTGACGTCATGTACCAGAATGCACATTAAAGGCTCAGGTCTGACGTCTTCCGGTAAGAGCGGAAAGAACAGTCAATGCGAATCTTCATGGCGCCATGTTCGTACCGTTGGTTGTCTTGGCAAACAGCATGGCTGCACAATTCTCATCCTTGGGAGGATGAACACAGCCCATTGAGTATCAGCGAGTTGTGGTTCCTACTACACCATTCTGACAAGGCTACCAAACAGATCTGTGGAGAGAGAGCAATTATTTCTAGACTAATTAAAGAGCTTGATTTTTAAAATGTACATCTGCCTAGCCTGCCTACAGTCAAATTGAGTTTTATGCCAATTTCCCCTCTTCTATTTTGGTGGCCTGAAGATGACAACAGCGACACGACGAGAAGTTCTTGGCCTCTACCGCAGAATTTTCAGGCTCGCAAGGACGTGGCAGGCAGCATCAGGGCAGATGGAAGACACCATTAAAGAAAAACAGTACATTATAAATGAAGCCCGAACACTGTTCCAGAAAAACAAAAACGTAAGTAGGCCCCAGCTGGAGTTTGCTAGGAGGGGAGCAGCTTCTTGTGGTATTCATTTCTTTTCTGTTCTGAAAATGAGAGGCCTGAACAACAAAGTCAGAGTGGCAGAGGAAGGGGCCAGAGGCTCCACTTGCACGACCCTTAGAAAGTAGCGCCTAGCCCGCATTTCCCTTTTCACGATCCAGTTACCCCAGTTGGTGAGGTGCTCAGTGTCCTCTTCTATGACCCTAGGAGCCAGGCGACTGCCAGGCCCATGGAAGTTTTCAGAGGCTGAGCTATTCCTCACACACTGAGCCTGTTGCTGGCCACTCCCAAAGAGGGGAACAGTTAAAAAATGTTTTCAATTTATAAACTATTCAAAGCTTCCAAGTACATACCCATTCAGCAGGAAAAGAATAGGATTGAGACACAGAGTTCCCTTCATAATGTAGCTTTGAACTCAAGCCTCTTTGGCGAGCTGAGTGAGCTTGCCCTTTGGGACAACAGAATTGGGTAAAATAGTGCCTCCAATAGCTAGTTTAACTGAACTCCACACCCAAAGACCAAGGACTGAGAAACCATTTCTACGAGGCTCAGTTTGACCCATTCCAACAGACCATGAAGCATTAGCTATTAGCTCCTTAGAAAAAGTCTTTGGCACCAAACATGGAAAGAGGATTTCGCTTCCTGAACTTTCTTCAGCCTCTTCCTCATTGATCTAATGGCTTCAATGCTGCCACTGTTCCCCTCTGAAGCTTTCTGACAGTCTAGTCTCTTGACTTCTTTTCTTCTTTGACTCCTGTCTCCTTTCCGGTACCATCTGCTCAACATACCCTGCTGCCAGCTGTATGTCTTCTGAAGGGCAGCTGTCTGCACAGCGGCCTACGGAAGGAACAACTACTTTGTGATTTACTTTCACATCTCACATCTGAATACCCAGTCCTAACTTCTCCCCAGCCACCCGAAGCATCTCACCGTAAACATACTGGTCTGAAGTAGAACTCACCTTGCTGCAGGGATGTCTCCCTTCCCAGCCCACACATTCCTGTTGTTTACCTTCGAGCTTTCCTTCAACACGCACGTGAGTGATTACCATGTGCCAGACACTAACTAGATGCTGAGGATAGAAAAATCAGCAAAGCCAGCACGGGGTCCCTCAAACGTGTTGCAGAGGTGGTAGTGGTGGTGGTCGGGGAGTGCTGTTGAGTCCATTCCAACTCACAGCAACCCTACTGTTAAGTGCTATCAAGTCAGTTGCAACTCTGAGGAGCAGCTGGTGTGTTTGAACTGCCAGCCGTGTGGTTCACAGTCCAGCGCAGATCCTACAGCACCACACCTGGACCTAGTGACCCATAGGCCATGCCCCAGAGGGTTTCCTAGGCTGTAATGTTTAAGGGAGCACATTGCTAGGTCTTTTCTTGCATGGAGTCTCTGGGTGGACTCCAACATCCCATCTTTTGGTTAGTGGTCAAGTGCTTAGCTATTTTTCCACCAGGGCTCCTTGTTTCAGGTATGTTGTTGTTATTGGTGTTGAGTGGGTTCCAACTCATAGCGACCCTGTATAGGGTTTCCAAGGAGCGGCTGGTGAGTTTGAACTGCTGACCTTGTGAAATTGAGACAAGCACTATGAAAGAAGTCCCTAGTCTACATACAGGACTGCTCGTTCTGGTCATCAAATGAGGTAGTGTTCAAGCTCCTCCAGATTCAGGGAGGTGCACGCAGCATAGATCTAACCTCAAGTAGAGCTAGGGCGGGGCAGCTTGGGGTGTCACCGGTGGGTGAGGTTGGGCACGGGCCACACTTCTTTCCTTTCCTCTGAGGTTTAGGGTTCTGGGATTATCATTTGTGTCTATTTCATTTAGTCTCTCATGTCTTTGTTATAGGGGGTTTGTATAGCGTGTTTATCCCAGTTGAGCAGACTGTCTCATCTTTCTCAGTTGGAGTGGCTGGTGAGTTCCAGCAGCCAGGCTTTTGGTTAGCAGCCCAGTGCTTAAGCTACTGCACTCCCATGGCTCCTTTTTGATCGTTGTTGTTGTTAGGTGCTATCAAGTCACTTCTGACTTACCGTAACA